GAACCTCCAGAACCCATACAGGGGCTACGGATTTGAAGGTTGGACAACAGTGAAGAAACTACAGGATGTGGAGATGTAAATGGTAATAGTACCAACACAAACAATTCAACACTATAAATGCTGATGGTAAAATAAGTAGGTGCACACAACAATAACTGTATAAGTCACCATCAGTTCTCTGGCAACAGACCACACATCAATCTTCTGAATCTGCTGTTCACAACATGAACCACTTTGGGTACAGTCAAAAAAACATTCCAAATGAAATTCTCAGCTCACAGTGTCACACCAGGCACTCAACTCAGTAGCTGGGTGACAGAACTGAATCCTTTCAGTCTATATACGGAGGAAAATGCAAAGGCAAACTACTGTCAGAAGCAAAAAAATGCCTTGACTAAATCAGTAAACCTGCCCAGATACCATATTTACCTGAAGTTTGTGGAGATGTGTTTTTGAGAAGAATGTTGAGAATACCTGGGTAAAGAAGGGAACTGAGATATTCAGATCTACAGGTGATACAAGATCAACTATCAAAAGTTATAGACAAATGGCACAAGATGGGTGATGTGGTCAGCATCACGCAGGCCGACTTTACTTCCCAGGACTGATCCGCAGATGAGCATCTAGCTGCTATTCTAAGCATAGATTTAATATCAAATTATTTTTATATACATGAGTAGATACAATACTCAAAAGAGGAACACTGACCACATTTACGTTTTGCTGTGTTGGGGAGTCTCTGGGGTGAATAGGTCAAGCTGTGTGCCTCATGCAGTGAAGGTTATTGGTTTGTTTCATGGATGCCTGGCTTGACTCACGAGTACAATTTGTAGGGAGATCTGCGGGATCCAGCAGGAGCCACAGCATTTGTGCTTTGTGTGACACTCGTGACAAGTGGCTAGCTGGTTTGCAGAGAGAGAGAGAGAGAGAGACTGAGCCATATGGGGTAAAATCTGGTGCAATAAAGTTGATCTTTTTGATTTTAACTGTTAACTTCAACTTTTGCTGTTTCTTTGGTTTGTGCGTTTTCACAGACGGTGGTACTAGTAATTAATGTTGACAAAACTCATCATCATGTTCTATTTACTAATTTTAAAAAAATTTTTACTTTGGGACCATGCTCTTTAAAGAAAAATAGGATTCATTACATCATCTTTAACGCACCTGAGATCATAACAATAAGCAGTGCATTAAAAGAAAAATAAATTAATATCTACAAATATTTCATATCTTATTTATTTCTGTGACATTAAACAGCCTTTGCAAACATTTAAAAAAAAACATGGAATTAAATGTATCACAGTAAAAATATTGTGTTAAAAAATTATAATGCCCAAGATTATCACATAAAAAATAAAACGAAACTTTCATACGTCCTTCATTCTGTATCAGCAGTTAAGCTCCAACTATTATGACTTGTCTGTAATATCTTTTTCTTTCATTCTCCTTGCCAAACACCACAGGCTTCTAAGAAGGCTCTGTTGTGATGCATGTCCTCCTCTGATCCATACAGTCTTGTTTCCAAAATAATGCAAACTAGCCAGATGTGGAATCTTTCTACTGCATGTAAGGAGCGTGCCTGCAGCAGATGCTCAATATTTTGGGTACCTGTCTACATAGGCAAAGTTCTGAATCCGCAATCATAAATTTACTGTACATCTGGCTGCGGAGTCCATTGTGTCCAGTTTACAGTCTCCATATATAATGACCTGTTTCTTTAGTCTGAGGATACCCTACCCAGGTTGAACTTTGGGTTACATCATAACAGTTGTCATCTGGCCGACGTTCAACATTCAGGGGAAGGATGAGACAGATATACAATCAGACAGTTGCTGGCACCATCAGAATGAGAACTCTTTCCTTGCTGCTGAAGATAGGGACTAACAACTTATGGGAGTGTCCAGAGTGCTGTGATGTCGATTCTTAATTCAACATAACTGTTGTAGAAATCCTAATATAAACTTAGGTTTAACAGGGTTTCTGGGACTTGCACATGGGGGATTCTCATCTGAATAGTGGCTGTTTGCATCACTGGAAGTTAATGGCTCATTGAGCAGTCCCAGTGGGATTAAACATCACTCACTCACGTGAAGAGGTTGACTGGGTCTTCAGAATTATGTTCTGAATGGGTGTGCTGTATGACTTCATACAATTTATATCTGCTACTTAGAGGTAACATGATCAAACCTTTGGTGTCCATGTACTAACATTTTTCATGTTACTTATGTCTCCAATGTTATCTATGGATTTGCCCAGTTCCTAGAATATTCATTCTTAAAAATCAAAAATCCATTCCAATCCAAAATTATCCATTTCTTTCCCATTTTTACTGAGTACTGATTAATAAATTATAAATGTGATTAATCTGATTAATAATGAGTATTTAGTTGTTGAAGTCCTCCCCTTGTGGGATGCAATTTTTTGTTATTTTGAAGCCCCAACTGGGCTTGTGCTGGGAGCCCTAAATATAGCCTTGCCATAAATATGGTCCAACGGCTGAACGGAATTTTCGGGACCTCTCCACGGATGATCCTCATCCGTATGGTGGCACTTTGTGTCACCCAGTGTTTATCACTTGTCTGATGTCCAGGTGGGGTAAAACTTACCTACTTACCTGAAAAATAATGTGGTTATCAGTCCTTTTCAGCACAGAACTGCGAGTTACAACAGGCTTGTGTAGACATTATAAGTGCTCTGATAATAATTTCTTTGGATAGTCAGGGCATCTAAGATCAGTCCTGCTGGCTTGCCATTGTGACTGAGATTTTTCATATCAGTGTGACAAACCTTCAGGCAACAAACCCGGAGGGCAAAAAATGGAATTGAGAAAGGATTGCTACCATGACCTTAGAGCTTCTTCCACTGAAAAGAAACTGCATCAACTGTATCTACTTACAGTGAAATAATCAGATTAACTTCCCCTTACTAATACTCCTTTCTGTTAAACTGTAATGACGCAGCTTTTTCTAGGGTCATTTGTAAATTAACTGGAGCCTTGGTCAGAACAAACTCAGCTATGTCAACATATCAACATTCTAAACATAAACAAAACTTGGTACCTGATAATTGTGATTATAGTGTGTATAAAAAATAAAACAAAATCCCTGTTAAATGATGTTCAAAGTTACAACAAAACAAATATTACTTTCATGGTTTAAATAAATAATGAAAAAAAAACTGTAAAATGTCTTGCCTTCTACTCTCCCATGTAGAAAATCTGAAGAAGAAACAACATCTATTCTTGACAAAAAGTTGGGACATTTGTGCATTACAAGATTTTAAAAGAAAATTCTCGCAGTAACAAAAAACATTTTTATTAAACTGTAATTTAGTCTTCACTGCTTTTATTTAAAACTTGTTAAGACTGTTTAGGATGGGAAATGGGGAAAGGAGGAGGGGGGATGGGGGCCTAAGCTTAAGGATTCAGGGCTGCATGACTAGTGCAGTCATCATAAACTGTCTAAAATATGATTTTTATTTCTGCCCCAGACACACACACACACAAATCTCCATCACTTAAAAAAAAAAAAATTTTAATAAAAAATTTAAGGAAACTTTTTCATGCCTCAAGGTGTATTTGGTTTATAGGGCTGGACCTAAATTTTATAGACCAATCAGCACTTGATAGGGGATGTAGTAAACATCACACCAGCCACCTTTACTTCCCAGGACTTTACCTGGTACCCATTTTAGGCTGGGTCAACCTTGGAGCCAAAATCATCTTTGAAAAAAGTCAGGCTCCAACATGCCCTGAACCATGACTTTCAGATCAGCAGGCAAGTGTCTAGCTGCTACACCACAGTGGCTGCCCTCCATCACCCTTACTGTAGATTAAAATCTAGATCTATTAAAAACTAGACCTCCCGATTATAGTCCAGCATTCCTCCTTCCTGAGCTAGCCACACTTCTACATTCTAGTGAAATAATGTAAATTATTAATGGAAAGATAATGTAGTGGTTTTCTCTTGACTTCCATGTTTATGTTTATTCGACGGATCAACATCATGGCACACGGGTGTAACCCATAAGTGCTCCATTCTACTTCTAACTCAAACCTGAGTTTGAAGAATCGCAGCGCAGTGCATGAACTCCATTGCACCAGTGAGGATCATGAAATATTTTAGGTATATTTTTAACTCAAAATTTTGCCCGGGCAGCGCTGTTAGGCTACTCTTTTCGATTTCCAACTGCCAAGGGATCCTTTTCATGCGCAAGAGTACACACGGGCATCTGATCTTATTACCCAGAGACCAGGAGATATTACTAGTAGTCCACGTGAAAAAAATCCCAGCCTTTACCGGGGCTTGAGGCAGACACCATACCTCAAGACCACTCAGCCCCCATGTGTACTTTCATGTGTACTTGGGTGATATGTGACCTCTTTCTGGCTGTCAGAATACTGTGAGCCTCCTGTTCTTCTTTTGTGTTCACATGGTGGAAGTTCTGGTTGTTCATTTACTTCTGTGAAGTCCTGTTTCAGAACCTGAGTTTTGCATGGACAGCCATTAGTTAAATCTGGCCTATTTGCATGTGAATGCCTAGCCTCTTCGGAGTATGAATGATTTTGAAGGAAACACCCTATTTAGTCGCCTCCTATGACACGCTTGTTAGGAGGCAGTAGCTCTACCCCCCCCCTTTCCACACACACATGCACACAATATGGGGCCCAGGAACCCACACAGGGAAATAGTGGAGAGTGATCTGTAGGTAATAAATAGTATCAGCAATTAGATAAGTAGCCAGATACAAATAAAATATCTCAGCTAATTTCACTGTAATAACATTAACTAACAATGTGACTAGATGGCAAGACTTAGTTGGGTGTTTGTAAATGTGAAAAGACTAGATGTAGTTCTACCCTGATTATATTTTCTGACTATTTTTACCTAGTTATTAAAAAAAAAAAAAAATCAATAAATTACCAATTTAAAAAAAAAGTATATTTATATGACAGTGACTATTCGAAAAGTACAGCAAGAAAAATGCAAACTTTGTCAGAATTATGAGTTAAATAATTTGTCATTAACCAGTTTCCTAGCTAATTTATAATTTACAGCTGCCTGAACAACCAGGCAAAGTGGGCGGAGTTCAGCCTTGACCAAGCTAGGTACCTGTGAAAACAAAGTATTAGATGATTTAAAAATAAACAAAAGCTTGGAGCTAACTCCTCCATCTATACTGCCCCACAAAGAAAACTAATAGTCATCCAATGCTGTGTTTTTTACTAGCTGAGGGAAAAGCCAGTACGCATAAAATCTATCAATGATCCAGGATCGAAAGAACTGTCAACTGGTTGGTTGAACCTTAAGTTATTCTTGTGTGCAATATGAACAACCTACTCGTTAAATGATGAAGATTCTGAATGTCAAAATTATGAGACGACATGATTGTTTGTGGGCAGTGGGGCTATCCCCCCCCCCCCCCCACAATGTTGAATGTTAAATTAAGAATCAACATCACAGCACTCAGGACACTCCCATAAGTGCTCAGTCCCCATCTTTCAGCAGCAAGCGAAGAGTTCCAATTCTGATTGTACCAGTAACTGTCTGATTGTATATCCGTCTCATCCTTCCGATGAGTGTTGAGCGTTAGCCAGATCACCTGATAGGCAGACTAAGAAACACATGGAAAAAGGGGGGAGGGGGTGTTGCATGGAACATGACCCTTTTTAGCATTGGTGGAGCGACAGAGTTAAATGCCGACTGTTATATAATACCATCTGCCAGATGAGTCTCAATGCATAAAATAGGTCCTTTACTTTTTATTTGACTTTGCTATACATGATTTACTCCAACAGAACTAGTTCACTAGTTCAAGTGCTACAGCGACATTCTCAAGACTGTTCTCAATTCTTTTGGCATCAACACAGCGACATGGAAGGCTGCTGCACAAGACCATTCTGATGGTGTACATCCCTCAGCCTGCCAGGCAGTGGAGGTTGCACTGGCAGAGAAACTCAGGCAGACTAGAAAGAATCGTACTGCTAATCCCACACTTACTGCGGCTTTCATCTGTTGTCGGCACTGTTCAAAAACTTTCCAGGCTCATATTGGACTAATCAGCCACCTTTTTACTCATAATCACTGATTATTACTACTTTGGATGAAAGTGGTCTTCATCACTCGTGATAGACGAATAACAAAACACAACACTAGTTCACTATTTCAGCACTGAAACAGCAGCAATAGCAGAGTTTCAATTTCAATGGCATCAATAAGTGTCTGACTGGACATTTGTCTTGCCTGTCCCTTGAGTGTTGATTGCTAGCCTTACAACATTTAGCTTGTGACCAAGTATTGCAGAACCAGGAGACTATCAATGGATCTATTTGTGCCTCCACACCGTCCACTCACTTCCAAGAGACCCTTACAACATTTAGCTTGTCATGCATCAATTCACCACCAAGTGGTGCAGAACCAGGAGACTATCAATGGATCTATTTGTGCTTCCACATCGTCCACTTGCTTCCACAGGACCCTTACAACATTTAGCTTGTCATGAATCAATTCACCACCAAGTGGTGCAGAACTGCAGAACCAGAAGACTATCTGCCTGTTCATATCCCAACACACCAGCATGACCTGGAGAAAAGAATGCTAATTTCCCAGGACCTCTGAAATAATGCTTGCCACTCTGCACAGAGCAAACCTGTCTCCCCCTTTCTCAACAGACTCTGAGAGTCAGTTACAACTATGCTGTGTGTTCGCAGCTGGCTCTCAAGCCAGCGGAAGGCTGCAGTGACCACCAATAGCAGCAAAATAGATTCAGACAAGTGTACCTGGTGAGATTCTGCAAAATAAACTCCCTTTGCCATGAGTTCATTTCTCATCTTTGCTATACCATCAAGGGAGACACCTCTTGATGCATCTTCAATTAGGATTGTTCGAAATCCATGTTCCACAGCATGAATTGCAGTGTGACCTGCAGAAATATTAATGACGCTTTGAACAAGAATTACTGTGTTTTTAAATACTCGAGCTATATCTCTATTATCTTATTATGTCTTTAATAATTTTCCCTATGTGAGTTTTCAGGAAAACAGAAATAAACATACTCAATGCTCCATTAATAAGCATATCATAAACGGGGACTAATTAGAGGCCTTATAAAATGGATACCAGTCAGTTTCGTGAATTTTCTTAGAAGAAAGGCAATCAGGAAGGGAGGTGAACACCCCATGTCACAGCCTAGAATATGTAAAGGAATACCACCTCACACCCGAATGGCAGTATCTGCAATAAGACTACCTTTTGCTTTTACATTTATGATGAATTAGTCAAAGCCTAACCCCACATTCACATTGTCTTCTTCTTTTTTCTTTTCTCTACTTCTGGAATGCCTAGCGGCGCCAGGGCAGGAAGAGATCTCTGCAATGGGCCCTTGTGTTCGCTTCATATAAAGTACTTTTCAGTGTCTCTAATATTTCTGCAATCCATTCTCTGCGTGGTTGACCTCTGGCTCTGTTACCGCCGTAGCTGTGTCTGATGCCAGTCTTATTACATGGCCAAACTATTTAATTTGTTGTTTACCTATAAAGTTTAGTATTGGTTCTGTGCCGAGAATATTAGTTAACTCCTTCTGATGCATTTATTATGAGGAAGATAATTCTCAGGAGCTATATAAATCCTATCATGGTATAAGAAAGTGAATCATGGATAGTTGTTGGGTTAGATGAGAATACACTGGACATAAATAAACAAATAAAAGTAATGAAGATGTCTAGAAAGAAACTCACTCAAGAAGAGAACTGATTGCCCACATCAGAAGGAGACAATCTACATTCTTTGGTCATGTCATGAGAAGAAGAAAAGTGGGGTACATCATGACAGTGAGAACTTTGGAGGAGAGGAAGAGGGAGACTGGGAGAAGAGATGCTGGATAGTTTGACATCATGACTTGGAAGATCATCTGTGTCAGAAATGACTGAAAGTACATGAGTTACAGAGACATGACTACCAATGCCACGTGCCATGGACATTAAAAAACGAAGATGAATTCATTATCTGTTCAAAATAACTTCTTTAAGATAGAACAAGTTAAAATAAGACTGTGAGTTCCTGGCTCCCACTGTGGGGAAAACAAGAATAGACTCAATGATTACTTAAAAGAGTGTCATAAGATTCAACTAGCTGGACGCCCCTGTGTTTTGTTGCGCATGTAAAAAAAATCCCTTGGCAGTCAGAAATCGAACAGAGTAGCCAACAATTTTGAGTTTAAAATCTGCCCAAGGTATTTCACGATCTTCGCTGGCGCTACAGAGCCTGTGCACTGTGCTGAGCTTCTCCAGACTCAGATTTGAGTTAGAAGAAAGAACGGAGCACTTCTGGGTTACTACCCATGTGCCATGATATTGACCTTTTGTTCAAACCTCAAACTAATTGGGAGTTTCTTCCAGGGCTCTATTATAGGGAAAACGAGAATCGACCCACTGCCTACCCAAAAGCATGTCGTAAGAGTGGACTAATTGGGAGCTTCCTTCGAAGCCAGAGTGCATCTGCCTGAGAGGTATGGAACTAGCAGGCTGAGCCAGATATGTTTAACAGATGTGTATGCAACATTCAGGCTCTTGAACAGGACTAAAGTCCAAAGGCTGATTAATAACCAGAACATTCTGTTGGAGTGTACAGCTGATGAATGTGAAGAAGAAGAAACTATGTGGTACTGAAAGAGTTAAACTCAGTATTTCGGGACAGAAAGAGTTCATTTCAATTGGAACACACACAAAAATTCACTGTTCTACTCAACAGTTGCAATACACATGTTTTTACATCTGCTGAAGAAGAAAGAGTACCTTTAAGATTGCCTGAAGTGCAACTGGTTTTTCTCAACTATAACACAGACACAACATTTGACTTGTTCTTACCAACACAGACATCATAAGCTAGTCCACAGATGTATACATCCGTGACGTGTCGATCCTGAAGTATGGAAGACAACTGTGTTTTGTAAAGTTTTTCGTTGTCCCAAAAGGCAGAGTAGCTATCCACATCAGAATTAGTTCCCTTTTTAAGGTGGAAAGACTTCATATCTACCTGTAATGTTTATTATAAGTTCTGACTATTATTAGTAAAGGAAGGCCAACAACAAAAAACACATGCAGAAAATATTTAGAGGCAGAAGTGGGTGAAATGAGGAAGATATTGAGTGAGCTAAACAAAAAGCAAAAGACAGAAAAACTTGAGTTGATCGTGGGCATATGTTACTTTGGTGGGAAATGGGTCAAAGAAGAATATGTTAATGTTGAATTATATTGAATTATGAATTAGGAATTGCCATCAAAGCACTCAGGACACCCCCATAAGTTACTACTATTCCTTACTTACGTCCTTTTCAGGACGTAATTTTTTCTTATTTGAAGCCCCACTCTGGCTTTTGCCAGGGGCCGCAATATAGGCAGGCCATCAATATGGCCAATTGTCTGAACGCGGTTTCTGGGACCTCTCCACTGAGATCCTCATCCGCATGGTGGCACTTTGTGTCATCGGGTGTTTATCGCTTGTGTGATGTCCTAGTGGGGTAGAAAGTCAGTCAGTCAGCCCATAAGCGCTCCGTCCCCATCTTCAGCAGTAAGTTCAGCGTTCCATGTTAATGACAATGAAGATGTAAGATGAAAACTTAACTTAACAAAGATCTCGGGTAGTTAGCGTCCTTTGGATATTTTCTGCAGGTTATGCCAGTGTGTTCTGCACAACTTGGTGGTAAACTGATGCATGAGGAGCTAGTACAGAAGCACAGATGGATCATCATGTTTTGAAGAGAATGGTACTATGAGAAGTGACAAGGAATCTGGTCGACGATCAGCGCATAAAGGAAAGATGAGACGGAAGATACAATCAGACTGCTTTTAGTACCACTGGAAGTGGAACTCTGCACTTGCTGCTGAAGATGGGGATGGAATGCTTATGGGAATGCTCCGAGTGCTATGATGCCAATTCTTAAGCATTAAATAACTAAAACCAAAAAAAAGAACCCACCCACACTGGACTACAGGTTACATAATAACAGAATACAATTCCCAAAAGGGTAAATGTTAAAAAGAACCCAAAAAAATGTTAATAAAATGAATAGCATTAAAAAAGCTCTGCTTCACACATACATGTACATACCCTAAGATCTGGATGTAGCACAGATCTGTTTCACACATACATGTACATACCCTAAGATCTGGATGTAGCACAGATCTGTTTCACACATACATGTACATACCCTAAGATCTGGATGTAGCACAGATCTGTTTCACACATACATGTACATACCCTAAGATCTGGATGTAGCACAGATCTGTTTCACACATACATGTACATACCCTAAGATCTGGATGTAGCACAGATCTGTTCACACATACATGTACATACCCTAAGATCTGGATGTAGCACAGATCTGTTTCACACATACATGTACATACCCTAAGATCTGGATGTAGCACAGATCTGTTTCACACATACATGTACATACCCTAAGATCTGGATGTAGCACAGATCTGTTTCACACATACATGTACATACCCTAAGATCTGGATGTAGCACAGATCTGCTTCACACATACATGTACATACCCTAAGATCTGGATGTAGTTCAGCTCCCCAGCTTTCCTGTAAGCAGTGCCGTGGCCATAAAATCTGTTCTCTGGGAGCCCCATCAATATCGAAAACAACCCTATCAAACAGTCTGGCATTTTCCCTCAACACCTGAAATGTCAGGAAATATTTCATTCAGCCAGATGAGTTAAGAACTGCTATCAACGAACCCAGAAGATTCACATATTGTCAGATTTAAACAGCTATATCCTGGGTTTCAGGGCCCCTGTGTCCAGGGAAATGAACAGACCTGCCTAACAAGCATGTCAGAAGAGTCGACTAATCCAGGGGGGGGGTTTCGTTCAAAGTCAGAGTGTATCTGCCTGAGAGGTGAGGAACCAACAGTCTGCAAACAAATAAGCCAGACCTGTAAAATGGATGTACATGCAAAATTTAAGTTCCGGAACAATACTAAATTCTAGAAATGGACGAACAAGCAGAACTTTCTACCAGAGTTCACAGCAAGTGAACACAAATAAGAAGTGAAACAGAAATGGTCTGCATATTAAATAATTTATTCCCTCCATCCCTTTTTTTTTTCTTACAGCAATGAAGTATTTTAGTCTAGAAAAACATCAGTTATTACTATTTTTTGTGTGAAAGAGACCTATATCTACAAATGTAAATCTTATACACATATTATTTTTTTACTCCCATTATGCTACTAGTGGATCAGGGATATTAAGTTAAGTTTCCTCAGGTGAGAAAATTTTGAAAATGGGGGCTGTTGTGGGCCCCGGCATAGAAAGGATCACTAATACAATACAGTTGGCAGCGATCCACAGGCCCCTTTCTAGGTCTTCATGGATGCCAGATGAATAGCTCTGCAGTACGTCATTACTAGAAATGGTTTTCAACCTTAGACAGATTGCCTTTTGATGACCTACTATATAAGGCATGCACGAAAAGAGGAGAAGGACATAGAGCAGGAGGATCATGTGTGGGTTTTGGGGTACCATTATGGGAAAAACAATAACAGACCCACTGCCTTCCCAACAAGCTTGTCATAGGAGTTGACTAAGTGAGGGCAGCCTTTGAAGTCAGTGTACATCGAGGCAAGGAACCAAGATAGTGATCTGATTATCTATATAGATTGTTCGGTGTTGAGAGGAAAGAGAAGTGCCTGGGGGTTCATAGCAAAAGCCAATGGAAAATCTTTAGTGCAACATCTAACATGAGAATGGAGGTGGAGGCGGTAACTGCAGCTCTCCAGTGGCTAGAGAACAAGAGGCATACACAAGTAGTAATTGTAACAGACTCTGAAGGCATTATGAGAAAGGTGAAGACAGGGATGCTTCGCGCAGAGTGGCAAGCTTTACTGGAAAGGTCACGGGTAGTGAGCATACTTTGGATCTTTTCTTCAGGCTATGCCCGCGTAGTGGGTAATGAATAGGCAGACAGATTGGCTGGATCTGTATGACTGGGTGGTAAATTGATACATGACAAGGCATATGTGGTCAAGGCCCTTTGGGAACAAGCAACGGAATCAGAAGAGAAACAAGATTATTATGGCCTGGAAAGAATGAGGCACCTGGATGTAACCAGAGGGTCTGGCCGGCTCACTACACTCAGAGGAAAGGCAAGACAGACACATAACCAGATTGTGACCGGTAGGTACCATCAGCACTGGAACTCTGCCCTGGCTGCTGAAGATGAGGACGGAATACACATGGGAATGCCCCGAGTGCTGTGGTGTCAATTCTTGACTCAGCTCAACTCAACTTAACCCTAATTTTTTTGACTCTCACAACATGATTGTTGGGGGGCAGTGCATCTATTCTGGTTTTCCCAACAAAGGGGCTCCGGAACCCATACAGGGATGATAGTTCCTAAGACTGAAAGCCATATACACAAAGAATGCACTATAAGACACTCACAAACAAAGATCTCACCGTAGATGTAGGATGAAGTTTTCTATTGTAGACATTATCTATAAAAGATATGTGATCTTCCGGATGCCAGTCATAAGTGTAGACTATAACATCAAACAAGCTCTGGTCCAATAATTTGTTTATAATTGGGATAACTACAGATCCATCCTGACCAGCAGAACAGTTGCAAAGTGACAAGCTGCCTGAAAGAGTTAACATTTTAGAGGTCAATTCTTTTAGTCATAATATAAGTTTTTCTGACAAATTAAGTTAAAATAAGAGCATTAAAAAAAAAAAAACAATACAAAATAATAAAAGATCTCAAATATCCCAATAATAAGCAGAAGGATTAAATAGGATATATTGTTTCAGAAGTAGAAATAATTGTTTATTTTTTTTATTTCACTGTTTCAGTACAAGAAAATATTGTTAGAGATGCATTCGTACCCACAATAAAAGATCATCGGCCTGTCACTTCCAACCAGGCAGCATTTACAGTGTTACATGATCTGGCCATATTTCTGTAGTATGCTCAGTCAAAATTTAAACCATATCGAATCACACCATGCTTCTTCACCGTGTGGGTTCCAGGGCCCTATTATAGGGAAAACAAGAATTGACCCACTGCCTACCCAAAAGCATGTCGTAAGAGTCGACTAATTGGGAGCTTCCTTCGAAGTCGGAGTGCATCTGCCTGAGAGGCAAGGAACCAGCAGTCTGCATGCAAATGAGTCAGATCTGTAAAATGGATGCACACGCAACACTCAGGTTTTGGAACAGGACTGCAGTCCAGAAGTGGATGAACAACCAGAACTTTGCGCTAGAGTTTACAGCTGGTGACCGCAAAGAAGAAGAAGAAGACACCATGCATCTATGTAAACATTAGGATAATAGCTGTACACACATGGTGCGTTACCTAGGACAGAAGAGTTAAACACACAAAGAGAAGTGCACTTTATTTATTGTCACTTACCCGAAATGAAGTCATTCTGAACATCAACAATCACCAAGGCGGTCACAGGACTCAAAATCTGCAAATAAAGCAATAACAAAATATTTGCATCATTAAAATTAGCCACACATCCATTACAGCAATTAGTTAGTTAGTTAGTTAGTTAGTTAGTTAGTTAGTTAGTTAGTTAGTTAGTTGGATTATCCTCATTGCACTCCGGACATGTCTATAGGTGCTCAGATCCTCCCCTCAGTATGAACCCCAACGTCCGATGGCTAATAGTTCCAGTTCTATGTTGATTAACAAGTCTTCTGGCGTGTCTGGTGTGCCTCTCGTTTTTTGCTGTGCCGATCTTAATTCCCAAGACTGCCATTCTGGCGAGTAATATGGATTCACTGCCACCAAAGTCCTCTATCCTTCCCATTTCTCTGAGGGCATTGATAATATCAGCATGATCCATAGGCTGATCATCGGTAGTGATAGCGGATCCAGCCAACCTGTCAGCTCTTTCATTTCCATCGACGCCTGCGTGTCCCGGAACAAAAATAAAGGTGGACTTCTGTAATGATTCAAGCCATTGTCTTCGCACTGAACCTGCCTGAACCCTCCGGATCATACTCATTGAATCACTGAGTATACACACGCGGGTGTATTTTTGTGTTTCAAGCCAGGCAAGTGCTTGCGTCACTGCCATCACCTCCATCGTCAAGCTGCTGGTTGTCATGGAGAAGGCGCCGTTGGCTTCTTTGACTGTTCTGCCCGCTGAGCGTGCTGTAAATGCCTATGCGCTTCTTCTTTGGCGTATAACGGATCCGTCTGTATAGATTATTGCATCTGCTTCGTCTGAATTTTCACCGATGAGAGCGTTGACCTCTGCATTACAGCAATATACCTTATAAACCCTGTTGAACTGGAAAATAAAAGAAATATTCTGTGGACTGGCTCATGGGTAAAATAGAAGTAATTACCCTCATAGAAATGTAGATATCATTCTATTCATTCAATACAACTGGCAGCGGTAAAACATGGCAAGCTAGCTTGGTTTGGGCATGTGATGATACATGATTCGACTGCAAAGACTGTACTTCAAGGAACATTGGGGGTTAGTCGAAGAAGAGGAGGGCAAAGAAGAATCTGGAATAACAACATCAAGAAAGTGACAGGACTAAGTTATCATACATGTATTCATCAAGCGGAAGACAGAGAAAGATGGCAGGTTTTATGTGCTAGTGCTTACATCAATACACCTACACGTCAACAATGGGTCAAGGGTTATGTTACGTATGTTATTCAAAACAGAGTTAAAACATTAACATGTTTAACTGTTTCAGTCCCAGAAGATAACAGCTGATGCCTGACTGAAGCAATAAAGATGACAGCAAAAGCAAGTGTATACTTCATCCACAGGGTCTAAATACGCAGCACATTGTGGGGACTTGTGTTGTTGGGTTGATTCAGTTTGCCTGACTAAACTTAAGATGTACAGATATACAAGACATTTTGACTGGTGCACACGGATAATGTCCAGTAGACATGGTGCGCTGTTTGGGACTGAGCTGAGTTGAGTTGAGTCAAGAACTGACATCACAGTACTCAGGACACTCCCATATGCACTCTGTCCCCATCTTCAGCAGCTAGCAAAAAGTTTCAATACAAACGGTGCCAGCTGTAATCTGATTATATATCTGTCTTGCCTTGCCTCTGAGTGTAGTGAGCCGGTCAGACCCTCTGGTCACACTCAGGTGCATCATTTCCAGGCCATAATAATCTAGTTTCTCTTCTGACTTCGTTCCCAAAGGGCCTTGACCCCATCTGCCTTGTCATGTATCAATGGTGCAGATCCAGCCAATATATCTGCCTGTTCATTCCCCACTACACTACACTGGCATAACCTGAAGAACAGATTCAAAGTATGCTCCCTACTCATGACCTTCCAAGTAAAACTTGCCACTCTGCTTGAAGCATCCCTGTCTTCACCTTGGGAATGAAAGCGTTAACTAATGCACCATCTGATGCAACTTAGCATTAGAAAATCAGATAAATGGCTGGAGCAGTTTCTGAGAGAAGAATTACTTTTAAAAAAATCAGTTCCATTTTCCCATGTGGTTTCCATGGTAGCTGCTACACAAATGAGTGGACATTTTCAGCGTAGTGCCCGGAAACAGGCAGAGATAAGTTTCCATCTAGATCAGTGCTATTCAACCAGGTCTACTCAGGGGCCAAGATGTTGAAAATGGGGATCACCACGGGCCAGAGTCCCCAGCCCAAGCATGGAAAGATCATTAATACAGTACAACAGGCAGTTATTTGCAGGTCTCTTGCTAGGTCTCCGTGAGTCAAGTTTGGACTGTGGGCCGCTAGTTGAATAGCCCTGATATAGATGCTATTTTTTTTAAAACAAATTTTTTTAAACAGCTAGTCATTCTGCAAAGAGACACTGAGTTAAATGTGATAACCCGGAGTATTGAGGTCAATCCTCAGTGCCTAGAAGATCTTATCCTTCAGCAATACAAAAACCTGGATTCACTGGGGCAGATATCAACCAACTCAATCCATCACTGGGATTAGCCTTCTCTTCCCAGTTGGTGACAGCAAGTGTTTGCAGGTCTGTCTGGATATTATCTCTCCACTGTCTTCTTGGTCTGCTCCCATTCATCTCTCTTTGTTATCTGCAATACTTTGTATATGTCCAACCACTAAAGTCTAGATACTGATGTGAACAAAAGATCATGCCAGTTTTCATTCATTTTCATGTCTAAACAGCCTCCGGGGCTTAGATGTTGCGAGTCCGACTCGTAATTCCTACGTACTACAATCAAAACCAACTGATAGCTGCATGGATTTTTATCAAGGTATGGGGCGTCACAGGTCGACCCAGCCTAAAATGGGTACCAGGATGTATGTCCTGGGAAAGTAAAGACGGCCAGTGTAATGCTGACCACATTACCTACCTACTGCCGCTTAGTCTGTACAAATATGGGTGATCTTCCCATATGCCCGATGCACCTAAAGGCGTGACAAGGAATCTTTAATTTTACTTACCTGTCTAAACCAGTATTGCCAGGCTGCTTGGAACTCTGTTAAACTGATCTTTCCATCCTGAAATATGAAAAGGCAGTCATTTAACCCTAACTTGTCTACCAGAGATTTAGAACTTCAAATTTAACTAATAGATAGACAAAATGATTTGAAAATGTGTCAAGACTACGAAAAGAAAGTGCACCACAGAAAGCCATGATACAAAGGAAGCATCACTAGAGGTAGCCCATGCAAGTGATGGATAGGTGAAATATCAGAGGTTGTTAACTCTTTGAGTCCCAGGGCGTTTAGCATCACAGGCCCACGGGGGTAGTAAAGAAAGTAATAAAATCGTTCATTTCCCATATACTGGATCTGTGTATCTTCAACATCATCGTGTGCCATGCCACAGGCTATTATGTTTCACGATCTCACAAAATAACCAGAATCACGGATAAGGTCAATGTTTTGTTGTAATGTTCCTAAGTAACTGTTTGTTTCACCAAGACATACGCAAGCTGACGACCATGTCTATTTTAGCGGATACAGTAATAATTCACAGTGAGGAACTAAGCTTAGAGTTAAACTGTAAGAAAATGAAAATTATGGTCATCTTTAGGAAGAAAGAAATTTCAATGTTAAATACCACTTTTAACTTGCGTTTGCCTTGGTGAAACAGATAGTTACTTTTAAATGTAATCAATTTTGTGCTTCAGTTAGAACTATTTATTTATTTGCTTTATTTTAATCAATTGTTTCTGTAGTATGTAATTGACGAGATACTGCGAAATACGCCTGGCAATAAATTGTGCAATCTACTGTTTATGTCTTCTTTGTTCACATTTACAACTGGAAAAAACTGCCTTAATTTGCCGTAGATTTTTATCACGGTATGGGGCATCATAGGTCGACCCAGCCTAAAATTGGTACCAGGATGGCTGTCCTGGGGAAGTAAAGACGCCCGGCATAATGCTGACTACATTACCTACTTAGTGCCTGTTGGTCTGCAAAAAAAATGGGTGCTCATTCCATATGCCCGATACGTCTTAAAGGTGTTAAAAGGTATCTTTACTTAACTTTTACTTACTTACTTTAATTTGCTGCCACATGTCCATGTTTCACATGCAAATGACAGCACAGGTTCTACAGAGCACTGACTTGCTTAAGAATCGAAACCCACTGCAGGCTGCGTGAATTTTTATTGTGGTATGGGACGTCGCAGGTCGACCCAGCCTAAAATGGATACCAGAATGGGCTGTCCTGGGAAAGTAAAGACAGCCGGCGTAATGCTGACCACATTACCCACAGAGTGCTGATGGTCTGTAAAAATATGGGACGCTCTGCCTATATGCCCGATGAAAGGCGTGAAAAGGGATCTTTACTTTACTTTACTTACTAGTTTCTCACTGTGAACTTTTACTGCACCCATTAAATACAGCATATACTTTTCATTGTCTGATAACACTGAATCATCTGCACATCTTATACTGTGGATGTTACATCCTCCCACGTTGATTCCCTCCACATCTTCTAGATGTTGCACGAACTAAGATTCTGACGGTTGCGACGCGTGTTACAGAGTGGACTAGAGGGAACGAAACAAGTGAAATAATTACTGTGTGTTGGCGATAGACAGCGTGCAGTGCCCTACTGTCATCATACGGTTAGGGTTTGGATTAGGGTTTGGGTTAGGTTTAGGGTTAGGGTTTGGGTTGCTACTATGAGTTTGTGTGAAGACGAGATGCGGCGACACTAACCGTAACCCTAACCCACACCCTAACCGTAACCGTATGATTATAGCAGGGCAGTGCATGCTGTCTATCGCCAACACACAGTAATTGTGTCAATTGTTTCGTTCCCTCCTTTTCCACTCCATAATTGCACTGTAGCCAAGGGACAGAACTCCGACTAACCGGCCGTCTACTGTTGTCTACTGGCCATGGTTGACAGGAGAGCCGATTTTATGACCTGACTTTAGTGGGTTGAATGCTTTTGCTATTGCTACATGAAAAACATATAAAAAAACAAGTAACACCATCATATATGCTGTTCTAAGGACTTAATGTAATATGGTAGACCCTAAGGCAAGGGCAGCAGAGAATGTTTGCACAGAATATTGATTATTTATAAATAAAAGTTTTGTACAAAATACATGTCAGACACAAAAATTAAAACAACAATAAAGAAACTGAAATACCACAAAATTTGAAATTGTAAGGAATTAAAGAGACTGACTATAACAATGCAGAAACAATACAGCATTAAATCTACAAAATAAATAAAAGTATAATTTGTGAAAAATGCTTTCTTTTTTTTTTCTATGTAAAAGTAGAAAAGAAATGACCCTTTTGCATGCCTTTCACGAGTATTGGGTATATAGGGCTAGACCTATATTTTATAGACCAACAGCACAAGATGGGTGATGTGGTCAGTATCATGCTGGCCACCTTTACCTCCCAGGACTGCACCTGGTACCCACTCACGGCTGGGTCAACCTGGGAGCCAAAGTCATTTTTAAAATAATAAGTCTGGCTCAGCCAGGGAGCAAACCCATGACCTCCCTATGCGCAGGCGAGCATCTAGCTGCTGTTTTTTTTCTATGGCAACATGTAAAGTCACAGGAAGCAAATTAAGTAAGTGACCCATTTCTGGCCTTTGCTGCAGCAGGCGTATAATGATAGACCTATATGTTATATACCAGTTGGCACTTCATGGGTGATATGTTCAATATCTCTGGCCACCTTTACTTCGCAGGAGAGTACTTAATACCCACTTTAGTCTGGGATGACCTGGTAACTAAGGTCAGTTTTCAAAAACATCAATTGTGATATGAATTTGAACCCTAGACCTTCAGGTCAGCAGGCATGTGTCTAGCCACTACTCTAACGCAGCTCCCCGATGTTGCAGTATAATAGTTTTACTTTTTTAACCAGTTGCCATCTTCACAATTGTGGCTGCAGTGGATTTCCAACACTTATTGTTATGTGTAACAGTTCTACACTCTCTGTTGTGGCTATACATGAGCTTTTTCAGCCCCAACAAGGAATGCATCATAGGTTCTTAGGTTCCTATTTAGAAACCCAGTGAAGCAACACGCGCCGATTTTATGTTTCTCTCTACTATCCCTTGGGCCTCTAATGCTGGGACTGAAAGAGTTAATCTTCTGTTGTTATTCTCGCATCCCTGTGTATGTTCCAGGGCCTTTGGAAGAAGGGGGGGGGGGGGGGGTTAGAGGATAAACTTATTGCCCCTTTACAAGCATCTAGTAAAAGATGACTAACTGAGTAATTGCTACGATTGTATGTGCTGGGCCAAAAAAGTGCAGATATCGCAGCCTAGCTGTAAATGCAACATCATTCCAACTGCCTTTTTAAGGGTAACTACAGAAGAAAAAGTATCTCTGTCTACTTCTTGTTCACTTGCCTTCAACTTTTGCCTCCAGTACAGTTTTTATAAGAGCATTATGTCTTTTATTGTGGTTACAATATTTCACTTGTCTTTTTTTCAACAACAGCTCAGATCAATCCTAGTCTCTCCAGAACTTCTGTGTTTGCTAGCTTAAATTATTTAAAACATATTCAAGCCAAATATAACAGATACTTATACAAGATTAAGCTGAACAATGAAATGTTCAATGTAATATTAAATCAGCTTACTGAAGGTAGACTCACACTATCAAGATCTAAAGCAGAGAATAACAATTCTGCATCTCCATGTGTCACAGGCTGCTGCTGCTGCTGGTGATCCACATCACTTATCAAGAGGTTTTTCAGTAAGTCATGAAACTCTTCTGTGTCAATGAACCCATCTCTGAGACAAAAACATGGATTAAATCAACAAAGTTATTAGTCAATGAATAGGGTAAACAGAACAGAAAATAACTACATGTGAAATGACCTGTCTCTGCAAGGTCACTAAAAACAGAAGAGGAGACAGGGTTACGAATACCAGCATTAGAGAGATAGTTGGAATAATGTCCAAATTATAATGAGAGATAAAGAATGAAATGGGTTGGCCATCTGGTGAGAATGCAGCCAGGCCAAACTGCATGTGAGACCTTTTACAGCAGAACAGTTAGGACAAAGGCAAGAGGAAGACCAAGAATTAGATGGATAAATGGTGTAGCTGAAACCTGCAAAGGGATGAACAAATCAATCACCTAAGCCATCCCAGAAGCGCAAGAGAAATAAAGAAAACCATGACACTGGGCTACTATCTGGTATCAGTGGGATGAGAAAAGAAGAAGACGTGATTAGTCATCATCATCATCAGAAACCATTTCTGCTGCTAAGCAACCTGGGAAGGAATAATTTGCAATCCAGTGCACACTGGCTGGCACTGGTTATTGTCATTCTGTGAAGACGTAAAGTGTCTTTAACTCTTTCAGCCCCAGTGAACGCAGCATACATTCAAAGGTTCCTTCCTAGAAGCCCAATGAATGCAAGATGCACTGTTTACACTTTTCTCAGCACCACCCCTTGGGCCACTAAATCCCTTGGGACTGAAAGAGTTAATGTTGGTGATCCATCTTTTTAGGTGGCCTTTTTTTTGTAGCTGATCTAAGATGCAGTACCTGTGAGGGTATTTGATATTGTTGCATTCTAACGAGATAGACAAACCACGAACTACTGTTTCTCAATCAATCTAGTACAAGCTGTTGTTCCCACAGTCTGTCTGATAGTATCATTAATCAGTCGATCTCTGATAGTTAGGCTGCACTGCTTTTCTCAGACACCCCTTCTCACAGGTGGTGATTTAGCATATATGGGCTTTAGACAATGTCCATATTTGGCATTGGTAGCTCAATATAGGTATGAATAAAGTAGTTTGCTAAGACTATTATTTTAGTAATCCAAACAGATCCATAGGAGCTATGACTGCCTTCTTAATACTCCACAAAATCAATAAAAATGTGGATGAAGGTTATATATATTTTTGAAATAATATGCAAACAAGTGAATCCTTTACAAATGACGTAAAAGTTCAACTACTCTCAAAAGCAATTGCCTGTTTTACCAGAGCAAGCACAGGTTCACTATTATGTCTTTCTGTTTAAATAGTTCTGGATGGAGGTAATGATTAGTGATGGTTTGAAGAAATCCTAGCACTTTGTCACTGAACAACTTATGAAGAATTCAAAATGCACTTTCTTTGCCTACATTGTGGCTGGAGTTCAAAAGATGGCAAGCCACAGACAAAGAGTGGTCTTTGCGATCGATCACCTGCACCTGAGAAGATACAGTGAAATATACCATGCAAACAATTGTGCACTTTATAGCTTGTGTCTTCTTTGTTGTAATTTACAACGGGGAAACATTGCTTTGATTTTCTTTTTAAGAACACAATCAAGAGAGACAGAATGAACATCACGAACAGAAAGAAGACCTTCATTCTCCTCTTCGTTCTTTTGTCCACTCTATCTAGCTCATCTACAACAACATATCTATTATTTATGATTTCACTTTTGCGACTGTCTTCCAAAAGTACTCAGAGGTGTGTGAAATGCCACCATGGCCTCACGTTTCAATGAAAGGGGGAAATCCCAACTGCATATCCTCACGGTGGAGGATAGAAATGCACCTCAGTGCAGCTAACACAGTCTCGGAGACTGAGTATCCGCTGGATAAGCAGACACCTCAGCTGTGCTATCTGCTATTACTAGTAATAGCATCAAAGAGCAAGGTACTCACTTACCCTGGCAATCTAAAAGATTAATGAAGGCTAAGACATTCAGCAATTTGGAAAGCAAAGGGAAACTACTACATTTTATATATATATATATATATATATATATACATTCCTAGAAACTCTCAATGGAAGCCAAAAGGATCTGATGGGGAGTCATCGGGGTCAGGCGGGGTGAAGTGGGGAAAGAGAACAACGGTAGAGCTAGTAGACGCAGTGGAGCTAACGGGAGGAATGCTACTGAGTGTGCTGCCATGAAAGATTCTGTGTCTGGACAAAAACTTAAAACAAAGACTGGAACGTGAGGTGTCTATACCAGGGAAAACTGAGTATGGTCGGCGTCTAAATATTTTGGCCATGTTTAACGTCATGCATGATGGCCTGGAGAGAACGGTGATTTTTTTTTTGGATCTCTTTTAAATAACGGTCGCTAGCTGGAAGGCCGGCGGTCGCTTAGTCGGAGTGCGCTCCCTTGGCTGCATTGCAAATACGGAGTGGAAAAGTCACGAATCAAAAACAAGGTCAACATGGCAGTTAGACATCAAGCTCCAACTCACATTAGCAACCACGTTCTTACGACGCACGACTTAGTTGCCACGGATGTGACTCCTGCAGATCTGTATGCCTTAATGACCGATAAGTTTGCGTGGTTAGGGGTAGGGTTAGGGTTAGGTTTAGGGGTAGGGTTAGGGTTAGATGTGAAAATTTTGACCCAGGAGTTCCAAATAATCACGCACAGTGACATACACACCCAAACAATTGAAGGACTGTGGATGCTACTCAAACGGACAATTCACCATCAATTGGGCACCAGCCGCGCGCTATTGCCGTCATATTTAGGAGAATTCCATTGGCGCCACTCCCACAAGCATCAGATTGTCAGCCAGTATTTGGAACTCCTGCATCAAAATTGTCACATCTAACCCTACCCCTAACCCACACCCTACCCTACACAACCGTATGATGACAGGTAAGTATGTCATATATTTCGTTCCCTCTTTACGCTCTGCATTTGCTATGCAGCCAAGGGAGCGCACTCCGACTAAGCGACCGTCGGCTTTCCAGCTAGCGACCGCCATTTAAAGGAGAGCCTTTGGGGGGGTGGGGGGGGGCGTGCAGTTTTAGGAAAACGAGTTAGAGGCCAGCCTCCGCAAATGTTGATAGGAGATATTGAAAATGCAGTGGACATGAAAGCACATAGGTCTGGAGAATTGGCTAAAGGAAAAAATACTTTCAGGCATGCCAAGAAAAGAGCGATCTTCTGTACTAAAGGACCTACAGATTGATGATGATGAATGATGATTTTACTCATTTTGCTGACATCAGTATCATATAAAACCCCCACCTGTTCTTGTCGAAATAATTAAACACTCGCGTATACGACTGGGCATCATCAACAAAACCTTCTCCTGTATATTTGTTAAATATACTCATCGTTGATGAGCCAGCCGCCTCTAAGTGAACCCCGTTTCTCCCGGACAACTCTGGCAGCAACAGACTTTGTCTCCAGTTGTTGTTTGTAAACAATTACTACAGGAACCGGAAACTGTGTTTGTCCCAGCACTTTTTTCAACATCATCATGTGCCCTGCCGATGACATGGGCGATCATGCTTCTTTGTATCTTGCAATCTCCAAATCCATAATTAAGTATATTCCCTGCCTTGTCTAGATTTTAGGTTACTCCTAACTGTTAGGGAACCCTAATATAACCTTACAGTTAAATGGGGCATACTCGGATTTGTACATCTAGATTTCTTATCTTTGAGTTGTTCATACCGCGGACTTCAATCTTGGAGGGCACAAGCAGTAACATCACTATAATCGTGTATCCTTACCCGCACAGGAGTGTAGATTACACCAGTTATGTGTGGCCGTTACGGGTGCTCGATTGCAATTCTCTTGGTGGTTGAATCTAGGATCTACACTGGTCTGCTTTCCAGGTGGATTTTTTTTTTTTTTAATCTCATGGTGGTAATGTGTATGTTTATGTTTATTCAACGCACCAACATCATGGCACACGGGCGTAACCCATAAGTGCTCACTTTTTCTTCTACCTCAGCCTGAGTCTGAAAAATCTCAGCGCAGTGCACGAAATCTGTTGCACCGGCGACGATCCTTAAATACTTTAGATAGATTTTTAATTCCACATTTTTCCAGGACAGCGCTGTTAGCCTACTCTTTTCGATTTACAACTGCCAAAAAGTTTTTTTTTTTACATGCGCAACAATACACACGGGCGTCCAGTCCTACTACCCAGAGACCAGGAAAATTACTAGAAGTCCACGTGAAAAAATCCCAGCCCTCACGAGGGCTTGAACCTGGGAACTCTACAACTCGAGGGGAACACCATGCCTCGAGACCACCCCCCCCCCCCCCCCCCCCCCCCCCACTCCCTCTTTTCAGTTTGGTAAACAATCAGATAGGAGCTTGGAGAAGTCTAAACATAAAGTTCAATCGACCATAATAAACATAATGGGAGACTCTTCAACAGAAGTCAAATGAAGTGTTGGTCATAGCGGTGTAAGAACATGACCTAGTATCAGCAAATAAATGACAGTTAAAGTTGAACGTAAAGACGGAAGGCTCGTGTTGTGCTCGCTCCTCCGTAGAGTTTCTACACGACCTGCTCCAGCTTCTAATCTTCTGTAGTAAACTGTTGAACTTTGAAAATTGCCTAGTAAAATCACACATAGCAACACAGACAAACTAGAGTTGGCTCTGCAACGTCAGGCAAAGCATAAACAAATAATTATAAGAAGAAATAAACTTGAATAGTCTGCTACAACTGGCGGACATGATGGAGAAAAACAAGAATAATTAATAAACATTTTCTAAATGTGATCATTGATTGCTTAGTAAAATCACACACAGCCGCACAAAATGCCTAAGAATGATTCTCAGAATATCTTAGACAAAAAAGAGGAGAAATACTGACATCTTGACAGATCTGAACATCAAGGAGGATTGGCTAATAAATACTATCTTGTCTCGTAAGCTTAAATATTTTGGTCATATCAAGCGCCACGACGGACTGGAAAAAATTATAGCAGAAGGCATGGTACCAGTAAGGAGGGGCAGGAGCCGACCGACACGGAGATTGGCACAGGATATAAGTGACTCTTTGAGTATAAAAGTACATGAGGCGGGAGAGCTGGCGAGAGACCGAGTTTCTTTCAGGCAGACTGTGATGAGAGCGACGTTCTGCAAAGGACCTGCTACATGATGATAATGATGATGAGTCGGCTACAATTGGCGAACCTAATGAGAAAAGAGCAGGGCAAATTAATAAACATCTTTGTGGATTGGCCACTTGGGTTAATAGACACAAAAACACAGACCAAATCAAAGACTAATTGTGTAAGATAGAGACGATGACCTCTGATCCCTCCCCCACCCCCACCAACCCCCACACATGCAATATTATCAGAAAATGTTCATAGTGGTAATGTTTCCACAGATGGCAACTTAAAGGAGCTACTTTTTACTTTCTTCCGCACACTCCTCCATCCCCCACCCTTTAGCTGTACAGAATTGGCTGTTTTGTCTTTGTGCTAACAGGCTTGATATTTTCCACGATGCACGGGGGATGGCTAATTTGCTAACCCATTTGCGTTCTATTGATCCAATTGATCTCGTTGGCTGATGCTAGTATCGTTCTTTCAGCCTTAATAACTATAATGTTTTTTTCCTTTTCTGGAACCAATTATATATGGCAGGATTTTCTTTTTCCCGAGATCGATTTTTGTTAACGTTATTGAGCTGTACCTGTTTATAACAGAGCTGCGTTGTTTGGGCCTTTGGGTGGCCACATCCGCATTTTTCTTGCTTTAAAGTGCGAAGTAAAATATTAACTGTGACTTTATAGGCCAATGAAGAGAATGGAAAATATGTCACAAATTCAAACCAAAGTCTCTGTCAAAGTGAATCGAAAACTCAAAGGATAAGACCAGCAGAGTTTGTAAACAACCAAGGTCAACATGAAACCAGAGAAACTCAAGAGGATAAAACTTGTTGGTTAACCCTCTCGAGTGTATTAGTAGTGTAAGGTGGGATTTTTCATAACTCTCAGATGCTAACAGGCTAACGCTATCACTGTATAAAATTATAGTTAAATGGTGATCGCAGGTCGACCCAGCCTAAAATGGGTACCAGGATGGGCTGTCCTGGGAAAGTAAAGACAGCCGGCGTAATGCTGACCACATTACCCACAGAGTGCTGATGGTCTGTAAAAATATGGGACGCTCTGCCCATATGCCCGATGCGCCGAAAGGCATGAAAAGGGATCTTTACTTTTTTTTTTTAAATGGTGATCACCTGTGGAGCTAAAGGGTTAAACTGTAATAACAGTGCTCCTCAGCTCAATGAGTAGGCAAAATGCGTGTACGGAATATGAAATAGTAAGTGTTCACATGCGTGTCGTTAGAGATTTTTTGTGAAGCCATATATCACAGAATTATACATCCAAGATACATCAAATCAATGGTACTGACAATTGTTTCTTTCTTTCTTTCTTTCTTTCTTTCTTTCTTTTCTTTCTTTCTTTCTTTTTTTTTTCTTTTCTTTTCTTTTCTTTCTTTTCTTTTCTTTCTTTCTTTCTTTCTTTCTTTCTTTCTTTCTTTCTTTCTTTCTTTCTTTCTTTCTTTCTTTCTTTCTTTCTTTCTTTTCTTTCTTTCTTTCTTTCTTTCTTTCTTTCTTTCTTTCTTTCTTTCTTTCTTTCTTTCTTTCTTTCTTTCTTTCTTTCTTTCTTTCTTTCTTTCTGTCTTTAATATTGATTGATTCACTCAATTTAAATTGATACCATTAACATCATCATCATGTGCCCTGTCAACTGGCGTAGGCGCTTATGCGTCTCCACAGATCACGATCCCTGGTTGCCGGGAATAACTCTCTTGATGATATCCCTCTATGCCATCGTTTCAGTCCATCCAGCATCTTGGTCTGCCTCTACCCCCTTTTCCACTGATCTTTCCAGTTGTCACGATGTGCTCCAATGTCTCTCTTCTTATTATGTGGCCGAAGGACAGTGTTTGTCCCTTTCTTATTGTTGTATATAGAGATCTACTTTCATTAGCTTCTTTCAAGCAATCATTGTTTGTTACTCTGGCCGTCCAAGGTATTCGTAACATTCGTCTCAAAAACCACATCTCTGTTCCCGAATACGTTCCCGAAATTGAACAATCTCAATCTGAACGCCAGACCAACAAAGTAGATACCATATATCTCGTTTAACCTTCAAAGAGCCCGGCTCGCTAGCGTAGTTGGCTAAACCGGATTGCGCGGTGACCGGTGACGAACTCCTTGTGGTCCGGGTTCACTCCCGGGGGTAGGCAGAAAAGCCACATTTCTCCCAGATTTACGGTATTTATCATGGAATCAAGGCCGAAGGGTTGCGATATCCACAATACCGAGCCTAAGGGTTAACAACTCATGGCTTCTGGCTACTAAAAAAAAACCTTCAAAGAAATTATTATTATGGCACCTGGAACAATTACATCAGCCATGTGTAAACCAGCCCTATGCGGATAACGACGTGATTCTGTATTTATTTCGTCTGTAGGCTTTAATACTCGGTTAGAGTACGGGCGCTCAATGTTTTTGCTCCAAATTGTCCTTATCTGCACTAGTAGGGTTCAGATCACTCCGTATTCTCCGCCCTGTCTCTCGCTCTATCTCTCATGTTTGCATTGCCCTCTTTTGTTTCTTGGTCCTGTGGATCTGAATGCAATGCAGTTTCTATTTTTGCCTCAGTTTGTGTCCTATGCAATGGTAGTGACTTTTCCTCACCTCTTGATTCACTGGAATTCGTTTAATTCTTCCCCGAAGCTATACATTTGTGATTCTGTCTTACTATTTACTGCACACTGATCCGCGCAGACAAGAGTTCACGAATGTCTATAGATTATTGGTAATATTGATCAGTCACTCACTGTTTCTGCTCCATATCACAGTATTGATTTTATTTTATTACAGAATATTATAAGTTGTGTAATAATTTTAATTTCCTTCAAATTCCACAGCTTTCCTTGTATTCTTGTATTTCAATATCTTTATACGCTCCTCTTACTTTTCTCTAAATTGCTACCCAATTAGACACATGACTTTGTCGTCTAAAGTGGGATTTCAGCAAAAGCTTTTTTTTTTCCCTAATTTTTTTTATTTTTTTAAACTCTCATATTCTGTATATTTTCCCATGCATTTTAAGACATAATTAATGTGAACTTCCACAAAGTTTGTTTCATTTATCTTGTATCTGGTTTCGCGAGGAGAATGGGAGAAAAATGTATCAGTGTAGTCCAGATAATGGAGCAGTTATGTTGCAGTCAATCACATTCCATTTCTGGTGGTAGTTGTTGATCCATTGATAATCCAGTATGTAGTCAGAATAACAGAGGTGACAAAACGCATCCCTTTCGTAGGTCTGTTCTTATTCCCA